TCTCTCTGCTTCCCGCCCGTGACGACAAAGGTGTCCAGTTGCCTCCAGCCGCCACGCCTTCCCCGCCATGATGGACTGTACCCTTGAACTGTGAGCCAGGGTAAACAATTCCTCTCTCAAGTTGCTTTACCCGGGTGTTTTGTCCCACCAACAGAGAAGTGACTGACTGATCCATCCCTCCAGGAAAGCAGACCTTGTATCTCGCTGGCCTGCTTCCCGTTTCAATAGTTCGTGGGACCTGCCTTCCCACCCTCGGTGAGGTCGGAGTGGGACTTCTGGTTAGAGCAGTGGAAGACCGATGAGGGAAGACCGATGAGGGAAAGGCAGATGAGGGAAGACAGATGAGGGAAGACCGATGAGAGAAGACCGATGAGGGAAAGGCAGATGAGGGAAAGGCAGATGAGGGAAGACAGATGAGGGAAAGGCCTTCCCAGTCTCTGCCACGTGAGCGTCTCTGGTACCAGGTGGGCCTTGGATTCAATTTGGGTCACTTAGGTCACTCCCAGGAAAGCATCAGCAATGCTGGATTTGGGGACCATGACAGATTCATTTTGGGCAGGAATCTAGAAGGCTTCCAAACCACTTCCGTACAGGACTGTGCAGGTCACTTCCTGTCCATCTTGGTCCCCAGTGAGCCTTTGAACTGCCATTTCCGAAGTCTGAGATTACTTCATGGACATTTCACCTGTAAACACGTGCTTTAAACCCGTTGATGGCCCTGTCCCCTAGGGTCTCCGTGACCCTGTTCAGGGGTTTCTTGTAGTCTCTGTGACATCTTTTGGTTTGGGGGACACTGGCGATTTCCACCCAGTTGCTCTAGCTCTAGGTCCACACAAGGCTCTAGCCACTGGAGTTGTCCCCAGGGCTGCTGTGCTCTGTCTCCTGTTCCTGTGACACCTGGGGAAGCACAGGCCATGATGCCCTGAAGTCACAGCTCTGTCTCCAGACATCCTGGAGCAGCAGAGCGGCTGGAGGAAGGAGGTCTTGGTAACACACAAAGCATGGCCGGAGGAGGATGGCCTCTGTGTGAACAGGGGGAGATCAAGCTTTTGGAGGGAGGATCACGTGGACCTGGCCTGGAGGGAGGATGAGATTCAGCTCCAAGGGACGATGATGAAGGCAAAGACGTAGACAATGAGAGGACCTCCAGGCAGATAAAGGCAACAAAAGTCAGGGCTTGAGGGTTCAGAAGAGGGGACCCATCGGGAGTGACCCGGGCCCTTCTTCCCCTGACAAACTCCTGGCCCTGCCCAGTCTCCCTTTCTGGTCCCCCTGAGAGGAGCTCCTTACTCTCCAGCTTCTCAGCCCTTGGCAAGCTGGAGAGGGCAGGCTTTGAGCTATCCCAAGGTCACTCAGGATGTCCAATAATTGTCCTAACACTCTACCTGCCACGGAACGGTAATGAGAGGGTTTTCATTATTTTCGGGTGAGCGCTCCTGGCAGATGCCCGACAGCCAGCAGATGTGTGAAGTCCGAGGTGATTTGTAAGGGACCGGCTCATCTGATGCACGGTAATTGCACAGGGCGATGTTGTCACTCAGAGGAGTGTCCTGGCCCGCTGGGATGAGGTTAAGGTCAGTTCAAAGATCCAGCTGGGTCACAGGAAGTGGGACTCCTGCGGGGGGGCGGGGTTGGTCAGTGGCGAAGACCCTGGCCACAAACTCAGCGGGGTCTTCAGGCCAGCCAAGGGCCTTCCCTGCCATGGCTTTTGGGTATTGGGGTGGACCTGCAGCCACTGTCTTTCATCAGGGATTCTTCTGCAGCTCTCTGGAAGCTGTGCCTTCTTGGGCCTTTTCTCGTGATCTGGAATCTGTGTTCTAGGCCTCCCAGGGCCAGATCTGTAGTATATGGCACCAGCGCTCACAGAGAGATGTTGACATGATCCCTCAGCTCCTTCTGCCTGGGTCGCTGTAACAAACACCAACAACTTGCAGCTTATACTATATGCATTGCTTTTTCCCAGTGATAGAGGTACTGGCTGTCCGTGCTCAAGGTGCTTGCGTGGTCGGGTTCTGGTGACGGCGATTTTGCTGTGTGTTCACGTGATCTCTGTGCTGTGTCTGCACTGAGAGAGATGAGAGAGTAAGGAAGAGAAGGGAGACAGCATGCACTAGGCCTCGCAGGGTTCTTTTTGTGTGTTCAGGAGATAGGGTCTCCTGAGGTATCTCAGGCAGGCCTGAAATCTGCCCTGTGGACGGACCATGGTCTCAGACCGGCAGCGATCTTCCTGCTTCTGCCTTCAGTGCCGGAGTTACAAGCCTATGTCACCAGACCCAGCCTGTGGGGCCTCTGAGGACATTAGTCCTATCATATGAGGACCCCTGTCTTATGATTCTACTTAATCATACTTTGCTGCTCTAGGCCCTGTCTCCAAGAACAGACACCCTGGGGGTTAGGGCTTCAGTGTAGGAATTTGGTGAGGCACAGTTCAGTCCATAGCTCGGGCCATCCAGGCCTTCACATTGGGGTGTGGCTTCTTCCCTATCTCAGTTTCAACCCAGGTACACACCCAGGTCAGACCCACACGTGTCTCACCCTTCCCTACAGTAGGATGCCTGGGGCATAGTGTTACATTTGAAGGCCCTCTGTGCAAGGCCCTGCACACACCTTCCTAGAGAGCTGAGGGCCCCATAGGCTTTGTGCTCACAGGCCAGATGACCTGGGTCAGGCCTCTTCTAGAAGATTTCCCTTCTTGTCTCCTGAGTGGGGAATACGTTTACTCGGTTAGCTGGTACATAAGGAGGGCTACCTGTGAGGATGACCTCCCTGGGAGAGTGAAGGCAAGTTCAGGCCGTGGACACTCAGCCCAGTGAGAGTACTTCTCCACAGCCGAGATCCATGGAAACCTGCACTGGCACTTTATTAACTTTAAACTTTAAACATCTTTAATTTTATGTGCATGGGTGTCTGTGCACCATGTGTATGCAGTGCTCACAGAATCCAGAAGAGGCTGCCTGAACCCCTGGAACCGAAGTTACATATAGTTGTCACATACAGTTACAGTTGTGAGCTGCCATGTGGGTGCTGGGAACCAAACTTGGGTTTTCTACAACAGCAGAAAGTGTTCTTAGCCACTGAACCATGTCCCCATCCCACGCTTTACTATTTTAATAATGACAGGGACTGCTGTCATAATATCCAGTGATTTTAAATACAGAGACTTCGTGGGGCTGGCCTCTGGTGGTCACAGGGCCTGTGGTAACGCATCAAGAAGGGACATGGTTGGTGGCACTGAGGGACAGAACTCAGAGGGAAGGCTCTGCATACATAGTTCCAGGCACATTGTCCCTGGACAGATAAACTCACAAACAGAAAGCACCGATTTCCAACCAACTCATGTTGGTCTCTCAAAGGAGACAACGAGCTCCTCCCTCCCACCCTCCCTCATCAGAAGTTGTGTTTAGAGTGACAGATGTGAGGCCCTGCCATCTCGCTGTCACACCGATTGCTCACTGTTCTGAGAAGGTCACATCATCATTCATTAGCGGTAATTAGTCCCCGGAGACCCCTGCACTTCTTCCCTCGACTGCCCCATTAACTTGGGTGTGAATCACACATTCCAGGCACCAATCAATGAAGACCCCTCCCTAATACGCAAGGTGATGCTATTAGTTACAATATATTAACTGCCTAATTTAAAAATAAAAAAGCCATCTTTATGAAGGGCAATTAACCACTGAGTGTAATTGGTCATTCATAAACCTCTGATTAGGAAAGACAAATAATAAGAAAGGGATGAGCCCCCTAGGCTGCAGAAGATGTGGTCCCCGCACCGAGGGCTGGAGAGCTACAGATTTCTCCATCCATGGCACCTGGTAGCCCCGGAGCTGGACGGTCCCTGAAACTCACCCCTTCTGTGGGCGCCTAGGGGCCTCAGGATCAGGGACAGCCTAAAGGGGTTTCAGGCTAGTGCTTTCTCCTCGAGGTCTCAGCTCTAGGTGGTTTCCCAGTAAGGCCTCTCCAACCTTACTGTCCAGACAGCCATTGTCCCCTCACCCCGTTTGTGTCCTTCAGGGTCCCTCTCCTCCCAGGTACAAATGGCCTTGCCTGCGATCCTTCTTGTTCACAGCCAGCCAGCCTCCATGCTGCCCGAGAACTGTGGCCAGGAAGGCCCTTCCCGCAGGCACAGCACCAGCCTGCAGTCACTACAGGTCCATGCCCAGTACCAAGTGCACACTGGTTATTTGTAGATAAGCTGAATGTCATCTCACTGGGGGCCTCTTGAGGCATCCACTTTGTGGCTTTGAATCCAAAGAGCTCACCCAAATGTCACTAGGACGCTCCGAAGGAGGGGGTCATGGTAACCGTTGGCTTCAGTGCATCTCAGTTTTATGGAACCTCGATTCTGGGTTTATGCAGGATGGGGTTCCCGCTTCCACATTCCAGAACTGTCATGTTCCTGCTGTCTGTTTCTGACAGACCCTGTCTATTGACTTTAGTGAGAAGACAGACCTCTGCCTAAACCTGTTGGAGAAGTGTGGATCCAGAGTTAGTAACTCGTGGATATGGGGAGTAACAAGTACCGGGGGCAATGCAAGTGCTATGGAGTGAGGTGGAGAAACAGCTGAGGCATTCTAAGATGGCTTCCAGCTAGGCCAGGTGGATGGTGATGGGGAGTTGATGAGTGAGTCTGGAGTCGGTGAGGTGTATGTGTGTGTGTGACATGTCCCAGGTTGGGGTGGTGGTGGTGTAGTGTTCTAAGCAGAGGTTGGGTGGGAAGCCCTAGGGAAGCTCAGCTGACTCAGATCATGTGGGGTTGACAGGAAGTTTGGGGGTGTGGCCTGCCAGCATTCTGCCCTTCAAGAAGTGGTCTGTTCCAGCTATGAAATCCTATCCTGAACACATCTGTGACGGTCTGGGCCACCTCAGGGACTTGCTGTGACTTGGTCTGCACTGCTACTTAACCAGTTGCTCTTGCAGAAGTCCCTCTCTGGGCCTCTTCTCAGGAGGCCACACTCCTCTGTGCTGAGCACACTCTCCTTGGTGTTTTTGTGGCCCAGACTGAAGCGGTCCCCGTTGAAGGTGAGGTTCTGCACCAATGAGTCCCAGAAGTCCCGGAGAGAGCTGGTGGGGTTGCTTCAGCGGCTGGGATTTGACATCTCAGAAGGGGAGGTGACCGCCCCTGCACCAGCCACCTGCCAGATCCTGAAGGAGCGAGGCCTGCGGCCACACCTGCTCATCCATGACGGTAGGCCTGCCTGGGACGGACTTTTGTGGTGGAGGCTGGGGAGAGGACTTCCACTCCCACTTGGGCCGAACCATGAGAAACAATGCAGGTCAAGCCTGACTTCCTCCATGACACTTGTGAGTCTTCAGGGTACAGAACTCATGAGGCTCCCTTCTGGGGGATAGGGGAAAGGTAAGACCAGACCCCAGCTATCCCCCTCCAAGCCCCAGCCTCAAGGCCAGGCCTGAGGTGTCCTGAGAGTAAAGCCTGAGGTGGTGTTCCTTGATCTAGGCAAGAGGTCAGGGATTTACCCAAGAAGTAAGATTGTTGAGAGAGAAGAAAGGAGGGGGGAAGGAAGTGGAGGGGGTGGATAGGAGAATATGAAAATCAGGATTGCAGTCTATAGCTTTCCAGTGTCTGCCGCCCATAGCCTGTCTGCCTCAGTGACACCCAGTACTGCTCTTTGGTGCAGTTTGCAAATGACTGTCAGAACAAGCTTTGAACTCAGGTGATTTTGGTCTGCAAGAGCAGAGATCCTCGAGCCCTCAATGGGGACCTTTTGAGGAGCAAAGCAGAGGGAGTGATGTTCTCTGGTGACTGTTTAAAAACAGGGTTCAGGTACTTTGGAATGCTTTTTTGTCCTTCCTTCCTTCTCCCCCCCCTCCCGTCCCCCCCCCCCCCCCCCCCCCCCCCCCCCCCCCCCCCCCCCCCCCCGTTTTCATTTTGACAAACCTCTGGGCAGAGGCAGGGCACTCTTCTGAAGTGGAAAGTACTCCCTGGAAGGCTGGAGGATGGAATCATTGCCCTGGCATCAGTTGAGGGAATCATGACCATCCTTTAAAAATCCTCTTCCTAACCTCCATTCTCTGTAGTTAGGAACCCGGCCAATGCATTTAGAAATCCCGTCTCCTGTTTCCCGGGAAAAGGGTTGCTAGGCATGGAAGAAAGGGTAGAGAAGATGGGCTGGGGTGGGGCAGGAGAAAGCATGGGCTCAAAGGCGGTGCTAACCAAGGAATCCAGCTGACAGGACAGAACTTGGGGGGCTGGAGGAGCAAGGGCTGTCCTTCCTCGCTGTTTTGTCTGTGCTCTCAATGAATGCACCTGTTTTTCAGGCTTTGACTTCTTCTAGGTTTTATTATTGATGTTTTCCACCCAGCACTGTATTATTAAAATCTTTAGACAGATAGCAGGCCTCAACAACTTTTACTTGGTGAGGCTCTGGAGGTGACCCAGTCAGTAAGTACCTGCTATACAAGCAGGAGGACTTGACTTTAGTCCCCACCAGCCATGTGAGAAGCCGAGCATAGCAGTGTACCTCGGTAATCCAAGCACCGGGGAAGTGAGGCCGTGAGGCTCCCTGGGGCTCGCCGGCCACCCAGGCTGGCCAGATTAGCACAGTGGGTGTTGGTGCAGTCCCCCTCAGCATTTCAGCCTGTGACTAACTGGAGCTCAGTGTGTGGTCAGTTTTTTTTTTTTTTTTTTTTTTTCTGTTGATGTAAGAGTTATGTGTGGCCAAGAACCCAAACCTCTGCTATGCTTTTGCTGACCTTAACTTTTGTACCCCCGGAATCCCACCCTTCTAGAGACCTCCATTATTATCTCCCTGAAGCTGCCTGCATACCTTTCCAGTCAGTTCCTACACCTACCCCTTAATGACAGTTGTTATTATTATTATTATTATTATTATTATTGGTTTTCCGAGACAAGGTTTCCCTGTGTAATGACTGTCCTGGAACTCTCTCCATAGACCGGGTTAGCCTCCAACTCAGAGATCTGCCTGCCTCTGCCTCCTGAGTGCTGGGATTAAAGGTGTGTGCCACCACCACCCAGGTGACAGTCATTATTTTTATATTTCTATTGCAAATAAATGTACCTATTTAGAATTACATATCAATAGAATGGCACAACGTCTATTTGATCCAGGGACCCCAAAGGCGACTCTAGGTCTCAGTTACTCCCTGGACAGGCCCAGAAAGACATTGCATTCACCATTAAAGCTGGGCACAGTGAAAGATCACAGCTCAGCTTGACCAGGGAGGAGCGGCATGAGGCGAAGGGCAGAGGACGCCAGGCATGAAATCCCAGTTGTCCCCTGCATTGGATGTGCTTGGCTGTCTCTGCAGTGATGTGTGACATGGCAGGTTGGAAAGCCTATACTTTTCTGAGACGGGCTGGCCATCTGAGCACACAGTCCTCATGTGACTAACCTTAGGGACTCCGCCTCCATCCACATCCGTCTCTCAAGATCAAACTGACCCAGTATGACCCGGTTCTTCAGGTGCGAAACTCCTCCCATCAGACTGGACCTTTGTAGGGACACAGGGGTTCTCCCTAGAGCTGTTAGAGGGCCAGTCTTAAAGACAGGCCTCTCTCTGGAGTGTGCAGGATTCGAGCGAGCCAGGCCTGCTGAGGTAGCCCTCTCTTTCACAGAAAGCAGTCTTTTTGTCAAGTTTTTCTCAGCAGCCTAGAGGCTCACCACATGTACTGTGTTCTTGCTCTTTGCCCTGTGGGGACCGTACCACAGTTTTATTTATGTCTGGATGTTTCCCAGCTTCAGGCTGTTCTGAAATATATATTCTGCCAGGCAGACCTAGCTGAGAGAAGGTGTCCCAGTTAGGAGCTGGTCGGAGGCCAACATTCCGGGCTTGAGGACTGTCTGTGTCTCTCGTCCTTCCAGGGGTCCGCTCAGAATTTGATGACATCGACATGGCCAACCCAAACTGTGTCGTGATTGCGGATGCTGGTGAAGGCTTTTCCTATGAGAACATGAACAGAGCCTTCCGAGTGCTCATGGAGCTGGAAAACCCCGTGCTCATATCCCTGGGAAAGGGGTGAGTCAATGGCAGCAGGGGGATGTTGCTGGGCAGGTCTGCCCAGTGCTTTGTGGTTCTCTGCTATGGAATCAAGTAGAGACAGAGGCAGACAGGTGCTGTGGGGGTGAGCACAGGGGACTTTTCTCCTTGCCTTGCTTTTTCTCTTCATCCGCTCCTTCCCTCCCCTCTAATAATCTTTCCAGAGCTGTTTGACAGAAACTTGGGCCAGGAAGGGGCGGGGCATCAGTGCAGGTGGAGGCCCTGAGGAGATCTCAAAGGCCAGGTGTTGTCTGTCCTAAGTTTATAGTAAAGTAGGAGAAGATCCCTCAGCGTGGGACGTAGCACAAGATGTTTAGGAATGGTCCCTGGGATACTTCATGTATTAATAGATGGACCTGGGGTCTGGGAGGATGCTTTGGTCTGGATGCCAGATGCCGTCTGTAGAGTTGGGATTGGTCCCCATGCTTTCGCAGGGCTTTTATCACACTTCAACACCATGCTAGTCAGTTTCTACCTCTCCAACAGATACCTGAGGTAAACTGGTTAAAGGAAGGCCAGGTATCGGGGTCATAGCTTTACAGGCTTGCGTTGGGCTTGTGGTGAGGGTGGACACCATGGGAGAAGTGTCCAGCTTAGCTCCATGGGGACTGGGAAGGAAAGAGAGAAAGAGGAAGAGTCCCCAGAGTCCTTCCAAGCTCCCTCACCTTAGGGGTCTAACTTTCTTTTACTAGACCCCACCTCCTTTTTAAAAAAAATACTTGTTATGATTTTATGTGTATGAGTGTTTTGCCTACATGCATGTCTGCACACCATATATGTGTAGTGCCGGTGGAGGCCAGAAGAGAAAGTCAGATTTCCTGGAACTGGATTTACAGACTGCTGTTAGCAGCCATGTGAGTCCCAGGGGATTGAACCCAGGTCCTCTGGAAGAGCAGCCAGTGCTCGTAACCACTGAGCCATCTCTCCAGTCCTAGACCCCCACCTCCTTAAGGATCTACCACCTCTCAACACTGCCACCAGCTGTGGACCAAGCGTTCAGCCCCCGGGCCTCTGGGGGACAGTCAGGATGCACACCCTCACACCAGCTTTTCCTTAAAGGAAAGCACTGTTTGCTTCACATCTTCCCTTCCTTCCTTTCTCCCGTATCTGCTTTCTTTGGTTTTTTAATTTTATGTGTGCACATGTATTGCCTACATGTATGTATGTACACCACATGCGTGCCTGCCACCCGCGGAGGTCAGAAAGGGTACCAGATTCCTTGGAAGTGGAGTTATTGCTAGTTGTGAGCCGCCCCGTGGGTGCTAGGAACCAAACCCAAGTCCTCTGTGAGAACAAGTGCTCTAACTGCTGAGCCGTCTTCCTGGCCCCTGTTTTGTTTTGTTTTTTTTTGAGACGGGGTCTGGTATCTCCCCAGGCTGGCCTGAAGCTGGTTATGTTCTGTATAATTGAGATTGGTCTTCAACTTCCGATTCCCTTGCCTCTGTCTCCCGCCTCTGCAGTTACAGGTGTGCCCCCACAGCCAACAGAGCACGCTTTCCCTCGCTGTCGGTCCTGGGCATTGACCAGCTAGGCGAGGCTGGACCACTGAGCTGTATCCCCAGCCTAGTAGCATCTTTCCTTACCCCCGAGATAGCTCTCATTGAAGAAAACTTAGACATCACAGAGCCTCAGAAGAAAATCAAAGGTCTCTGCAGTCCGGCTGTGCAGCACCAACACCAGCCTGGGGGTGTATGTCCTCAGATGCAGGCATTCATCCGGTGCTGCGAACAGGACTGGATCGAGAGTCACCTGAGATACACACTTCTGGACCTATCCACGAGGGTATTTGTAGAGAGGTTTAAATGAAGAGGGAAGACTCATCCTTGGGGCTAGAGAGTTGGCTCAGTGGTTAAGAGCCCTGGTTTCTCTTCCAGAGGACCCGAGTTCAATTCCCACACCTCCATGGCCACTCACACCTGTCTGTAACTCCAGTTCCAGGGCTTCTGATCCCCTATGAAAAAGGGAAAAGAAGCACGTGACTCTGTACCAGCATTCACTGCTCTCTGCTTCCCAGTTGTGGATGCAGTGGGACCCAGTGCTTCATGATTTTGCCCCCACGCCTCCCCATCGTGGTGTTCTATACCCCTCAGACTGTGAACCAGCATTTCCTTCCTTCCCGGTTATGTATCTGGTCCCAACAACAAGGAACCAGTGTGGGAGTCAGGCTTGACCTTGTTCTGTCACGTGTGGGTTTTTTTCTTCTTCTGTTTTCGTGTGTGTGTGTGTGTGTGTGTGTGTGTGTGTATACACTTTTGCATGTGCATGGGTACACGTGTGTGTGTGTGTGTGTGTGTGTGTATGTGTGCGCGCGTGTGCGCGCGCGCACATCAGGAATAGCATCCTCCATCCATCTTCCACATTATTCAGTGAGGCAGCATCTCTCAGTCAAACACAGATCAGAGGTATGATCCAGCTTGTCGTGGGGGTCTCTGCCTTCCAAGGCTGGAATTACAAGCGGGCCACTATGTCCACCAGGCATTTATGTGAGCTGGGGATCTGAACTCCACTCCTCACTCATGTACAGCAAAGGTTTCAACCACAGAGCCATCTCCTCAGGCCCCTGTGGCCTGTTTCTTACAGTCACCAAACAACAGCGTGTGAATGACTTGGTACACCCAATATCTCTGTGACACAGTTATCTGCCTTGTGAGTGTCCTGGGGTTGTGTTCAGTGATCCCTAGTGTTGGACAGGGAGGTTGTGTCTTACTGTCTGTGACCGTAAGTGATGGTTGAGTGTCTTTGTCACATCAGATGTTGTCCTTAGAGACCACTAAAGGAAGGTTTTTAAGGGTTTGTTTTTTTGTTCTTTTCTATCCTTTTATTTATTTCTCCTTTTTATTATTAATTTTGATGCAGGGTCTCACTCTGTAGTTCAGGATAACCCATACTTTCAGCAATCCTCCTGCCTCAGCCTCCCAAGTGCTGTGATTACATGTATGAGTCACCAGATCTGGCTCATTTTGAGCTTCATGATGCGTGCTGCCCAGCTCGTTTCCAGAAGACTGTACATGTCTAGTCTGGTCAACAGAAACAGTATCAGAAGTTCAGCGTCTTGCACTCTGGAGGTTGCATGATTCTTTGGGGTTCCTGCCGAGCTTGGTAGGCAGCAGGGCTTCCTGCTGGAAGTATTTCCATCTAGTGCTTGGTGACTGGGCCCTCATGCCCATTAATCTCGGCACACTTGGCCTGCTTAACTTACTGACCTGGGCCCTGCCCTTGGGTATTTGAGTCGGCAACCCTCCACCAGAAAATGTGCATAATGAAAAAGCAATATTGTAGGTCATTTATGTCAACACATTTTTCTTTGATGCAGTTTTATCACTGCTAAAGGTTATTCCAGACCGCGAGTAATGGCTTGAATAAGCACGTTGGTGAAAAGGATGAAAGCAGCAATTGCTTGCGATTGCCTGGGTGATAACTTCAGCAGACTCAGCAGTAGGTGAGGGTTGATTTGATATGGGGGGGGGGCTTCAGCTCCCTAGACTTTGACTTGGGTGAAGGGTGGCATGTTTCAAACCCAGACAGAGAAAGGGCTCAACAGCTTCCAGAGGGTGGCAGCTTCTCCAGGCTGCCCAAGGACCCAGGAAGAGCCCCTGTCACTACAGTCAAGGCTGGGGTGTCTTCCCTGAGGGTACGGGGAGGCAGGATGTCCCCCTCCTCCAGAGGGAGTGATTTACATTTGGCATCTGTGTGGACTGAGAGAGGGAATTGCCTTTGTAATTTCTCCTGTCATGCCGCCATCAGAAAATTAAGCTGTTTACTCTACAGACTATGGAGGTTAATGGCTCTTCTGGGAGAGGTCAAGTGGTCATTTTGCAGGGAGGCCTCACCGAGGAATCAGAAACGGTGGGAGAACGAAGCATAAAATCAGATGTGACTGCTCCCTGTGCCCCGATTCTCCCGGTAGCCACAGTGGCCCTCAGTGGCTAGAGGGCCCAGGGCCCTCACAGGCCCGCAGTAGGCCACACTGTGCCATAAAGGAAGGAAAACTATATCCGGTTGCTAGTGAAGGGGTGTAAATTAGATGCCTGTTTGCTATTCCTCTTAAAGGGAACACACAGTGTTTACAGCCAGCAGCTGGTTGCAAGGTAGATTTTTGTTTTCCTGAATGAATAAGAAATACAGAAAAATTGTGTGCTCTATAAGCAGCAGCCCAGATTCAGTCTAAAAAAGAAAGTAAGCTGGGCGTGGTGGCCCAGGCCTTTAATCCCAGCACTCAGGAGGCAGAGGCAGGTGGATCTCTGTGAGTTCCAGGCCAGCCTGGTCTACAGAGTGAGTTCCAGGACAGTTAGGGCTATTGCGTAGAGAAAAACTCAAAAAACAAAAACAAAAAAGTAAGAAAGAAAACTGAGAGGGTGGCTGGGGATGTAGCTTGTTTGGTAGAGTTCTTGCCTAGCATTCACGAAGCATCCATCCCCAGCATCACATAAACTGAGGTAGTGGGCACATCTGTAATTCCAGCACTTGGGGGTGGGGGTGGAGGCAGAAGGACCTCTGTGAGTTGGAGGTCTACACAGAGAGTGTAGTGGGACCCTGTCTCAAAAACAAGCCTCTGTTGAGAGAGGGAGAGGTGGGGTGGAGATTAAAAGTTTTCATTTTAGCCGGGCAGTGGTGGCACATGCCTTTAATCCCAGCACTCGGGCGGAGGCAGAGGCAGGTAGATCACTGAGTTTGAGGCCAGCCTGGTCTACAGAGCGAGTTTCAGGATAGCCAAGGCTACACAGAAAAATCCTGTCTCAAAAAAATTTTTAAAAAAAGTTTTTATTTTAATTTCTGAAAATCCATTTTCTCTGGCCCAGAAGGTCATGCTTTGGCTGTATTTCAAGTCACCCAGTAAATCCAAACATCCTGAAATTACTTTAGAATAAACCTCTAGATCCAAGGCCAGCAGAGCTGTGTTCCAAGGACTCCTTAGGGGTGAGATTTCCAAATGAGAAGGGCGTGTTCCCCTCCATCCAGTCTCCTGTGTCCTCCAGCTGGCCCTGGTGTAGCCTGGAAACCCCCAGAATCCTTAGCTGCAAACAGCTGGACCCCTTACAGTTTTGTTTTGGAAGTTTCTGTTTACTTCCTGGCGAGCATCTCCTGTGCTGAGTTAGGTCTGTCCCCACTCTGTCCTCTGCCTAACCCATTTCTACTAATCCTTTCCTTTGGGAGGACCCTGATAATCCTCTCCCGGGGATCTTTCTCTGGCTACCTATTGGAACAAGGGTTGTAGCCTCTGGGAGTCTCCTGAGGGCCCTTGCCCAAAGAGGGTGGCCCAACTGTGGGTGCGGAGGTGGGCCACTGTGGATCCCATCAGGTGCTCTGGTGATCCCAAAGTGACCCTGGTCTTCACACTCCTTCCCCTCACTCATAGAGTGACCTGCTCCCCATCAGGGCACAGCTTAATCATCTCTTCTGAGGGATGCCTCTGTTACCTATTCATGCAGCTCACCGTGTGTGTGCTTACAGTTTCTCTGTGGGTCTGTTTGTGTCTCCTCTACACTGGGAGTCCAGGGGTGCATGCCAGGTCTGGGCATGTCCCTGAGTCCTGCAAAGAATCCTGGACGGAGCAGGGTCAGGCACCTGCCACCCAGATAGCACACAGCACAGCACCAGTGTCTCCCTCTGCTGGCCAGATTCTGTTTATCATTCTCCAGTTCTTTGAAATTCTAGACCCTGGCTAAGGAAATAGTCATTATAGTTTACTGTAAAAATAGGGGGAAAAAATGAAACAAACACTTTTAAGTAAGTGTATATGTGTCTGTCTTTCTATTTGTCTGTGTTTGTGTGTTTGTGAGTGTAGGCATACTCGTGCCAGGGGGTGCATGTGGAGATCACAGGTGTGTGTGTGTGTGTGTGTGTGTGTGTCTGTCTGTCTGTCTGTCTGTCTGTCTGCTGTTTTCTTTCTATTTGTCTGTGTTTGTATGTTTATGAGTGTAGGCATGCTCGTGCCAGGGGGTGCATGTGGAGATCACAGGTGTGTGTGTATGTGTGTGTGTGTGTCTGTCTGTCTGTCAGTTAGTATAGGCATGCTCATGCTAGGGTGTGCATGCTGAGGTCACAGGACAACCTCAGCTGTCGCTCTTCACCTTCCGCCTCGTTTGAGACAGGGTCCCTTTGTCGTTTGCGAGGCTAGCTTCTGGGGCTTTTCCTGTCTCCACCTCCCATCTGGTGCAGGATTACTGGGGTTGCAGACACATGGTACCACGCCTGGGTTCTGGGGATCCGAAGGTCCGCATGCTTGCATGACAAATGTCTACTCACTGAGCCGCCTCACCAGACTGGAGAAATTTTTAAAGAAAACTTCTTGAGGACTTTGGAGATGGCTTAGTGGTTAAAGCTATTGGCACGCAAGCACCAGGCCTGGAGTTTGGGTCTCCAGAACCCACACAATGCCAGGTGGGTGCGGCAGGCCACCCTTACTTCCAGCCATGTAGAGACGGGGGATTCCAAGAGCAAGCTGGCTTGCAAGACTAGCTATATCAGCAAGCCCTAGATTTGATTGAGAGACCATTTCCCACCCCACCCCCCAAAAAAATAAGGTGAAGGAGTGGTCTCGGGTGTTCTCGATCCTAGCCTCAGGCCTCTGTGTGCACATACTGCACACACATACATTCATGTCACCACTCTAGAGGTGGTGGGATCTAGGAGAATGGAGCCAGTAAATGAGTCGGACTAAAGTCTCATGCAATAGCCAGCTTTATTCAGAGCATCAGACAGTTTATAGTCTGAAGGTTAAAAAGAATCACAAGAGTAAAGTTCTCATGAGTTCAAGCTGTATAAAACCACAGGGACAAGCTGCATGTGGCAAAAACCTATTTTTCCATAGAGGCATAGAAAGGATCATTTAACCATTTCATTGAATAACAGCAGCAATAATAATGAGTCATCAGAAGTAAACTCACTCCTGCCCGCTATATCTGGGAGGAACACGAAAACACATTCCAAGAGCAATTCAGTGTTCTGCAGAAACTGAGATCACAAGACTCTTGTTTCTGGGAGTTTTCTCACAAGCACTCGGGATTCCCCTCACATAACTCCATTCTTAGACCATGTTCCAACACATACACATGAAGAAAAGAAAAAAAATTCTTGAGATAGGATCTGCTATGTATCCCAGACTGGCATAGAATTCACAATCCCCCTGCCTCAGCCTCCTGAGTGCTGGATTACAGGAGTAGCACCACCAGATCTGGGGCTTGTATTCATTTCTCCCCCTGAGCTCCTGTTTCAGGGCCTGTGTCTCAGCTCCAGTGAACAGCAATTTGTAGACTTCTCCAGTCCTCTGCTGAGTGGTGTTTGTGTTCTGGGCCTGTAAGGAACTTTGTGTGTTGTTTTGTCCAAGCTTCACAACAGCCCAGATATGGATGGGTCGCTTCTTTTGACCATTTTACATGTGAGGAAGCTGACGTTCTTACATAGCCCAAAGTCCCTGCTAGGAAGCAGAGGGGATCTGAATATGGAAGCCAGCCTGCGTGTGTCTCTCTCTTGTCCTCTGCACACATGCTTAGGTAAATGTCCCCTGCTGGACACAGAAGGAAGAGAAAACTGACAGAGATGGTCAGACCTCTCAATAATTCTAAACTCAGATCCCCGTACCATTCCTGGGCTTCAGCGAACCTTGTCTCTAGAGTATGATGTGTTAGCCACCTTCTTGCTTCCTTATGGTCACAGGGCTTTGCTCAGAGAGCCCCAGGTACGGATGACTTTGCGGTCAGGACTCCTGGTACCTCCAGGCCTTGGTCTGATGTGGGATGGGCCCGTGGGCACTTGGAAGAGCAATGAGAGGATCTTAAGGAGGAACGCTCCCAGAGAGCCTGCATTGTCTTTGGTTGGGACGACATTCTTGTCATCTCATGGAAGCAGCTGGTGCCCGTGAAACCTGGCACCTTGCCTGACCCCAGCTAACAGGAGATGTGGCAGGCTGCTGTGGAACTAATGGAGTTCTCTCCTCAGGCGGCAGTTAAGGGTTAATTATTAGCAATTAGGGAGTCAGCACATGCTCTGGGGGGCCTGCGGTCCCTTCCCAGAACACGGGTCACTTGTCTTCCTCTGTGTTAGTAACTGGATCCATCTGTCCCTCTTGGGTCCCTGGTTAATCATTGCGGTAGGGTCCCTACAAGACCAGCGGCAGGGGGCTACTGGCTGAATGATCCATGGTGTCCTAATGCTGCCGGCCCTCTGGTTCTGCCATGTGGTCTCCATCAGTCACTCTCAGCATGGCGTCAGTACTGCCCTGCACCTGTGGCTCTCTGTTCATCTCTTCCCTTCTACTCTCTTGCAGACGCTACTACAAGGAGACCTCTGGCCTTATGCTGGATGTTGGAGCCTATATGAAGGCACTCGAGGTACCTGCCCTGGTTCTGTCCCTTGCCCTCTTCAGGCTTTCTGGAGAAGAGGGAGTAGCCTTTCATGTCTCTGAGTGGGCCTCCTGTGTGGGGTTTCCAGCCACACACTCCCTCTCCTCTGGGGTTGGCTCTCCCGTTGCCTGGGCCATCACACCGTCATTTACATGTGTGTCATTCTCTTACCCCAACCCCGGCCAACCTCCTGCTGCTCTCTCCCAGCATGCTCTTTACCACTCTTCTTTGACTCATGGCTGCCTCCTTCCTGGCCCTGTAACACTTCAGGCTTGATATGTCCTCCCCGGCCTTGTCCCTGAGATGACCCTCCCTCCAGGTTACAGAACCATCTGTGGCCAGACCTCTGGAGTCCACTGTGACTGTGGCCAATCCCCTGCCTAGACTCCTACTATACCACGCCCTGTACCAGTGGTATCAGCCCCTGCCCCCCTGTATGCAGGTGGTTAGGATGGGCAAGTGTGTAGTTTTTGCTTTGTTTTGTTTTTTTTAACTCTTCGAGGGCCTGCCACCCAGCTCCCAAATAAATACATGGAGATGTATTCTTACTTATAAATGCCAGGCCTTTAGCTTGGCTTGTTTCTACCTAGGTTTTCTTAATTTAAATTATCCCATTTAGGACTAGAGAGATGGCTTAGAGGTTAAGAGCACTAGCTGCTCTTCCAGAGGTCCTGAGTTCAATTCCCAGCAACCACATGGTGGCTCACAACCATCTGTAATGAGATCTGGTGCCCTCTTCTGGCCTGCAGGGATACATGCAAGCAGAACACTGTATACATAATAAATAAATAAATCTTTTAAAAAAATTATCCCATCTACCTTTTGCCTCTGGGCTTTTACCTTTCTCTATTCTATATATACCTTTTCTTTACTTCTTACTCCATGGCTGGCTGTGTGGCCAGTCCCTGGTGTCCTCCCCTTCCTCCCTCTTTCCCTCTCTCTCTCTCCCAGATTTCTCCTCTTATTTATTCTCTCTGCCTGCCAGCCCCGCCTATCCTTCCTCCTGCCTTGCTGTTGGCCATTCAGCTCTTTGTTAGACCTTCAGGTGTTTTAGACAGGCAGAGTAACACAGCTTCACAGAGTTAAACAAATGCAACATAAAAGAATGCAGCACATTGTAGCTAGAGTTTTCCTGCCAGGCCCATAGTCAGGACATATCTCTGCCACCTGCCAGTCCCACAGCCGCTCAGACCCAACCAAGTAAACACAGAGACTTATTTTGCTTACAAACTGTATGGCCGTAGCAGGCTTCTTGTTAACTGTTCTTATATCTTAAAGTAATCCATTTCTATAAATCTATACCTTGCCACATGGCTTGTGGCTTACCGGCATCTTCACATGCTGTTTGTCATCGTGGCGGCTGGCAGTGTCTCTCTGACTCAGCCTTCCACTTCCCAGAATTATTCTCCTCCTTGTCCCGCCTATACTTCCTCCTGCCTGACTACTGGCCAATCAGTGTTTTATTTACTAACCAATCAGAGCAACACATTTGCCATACAGAACATCCCACAGCAGCACATCTTTTCATCATTAAAACAAATGTTCCACAGCATAAGTGGATGTAACACATCTTAAACGAATATTCCACAACACAGGTGGGTGGATTGAATCCTGGACCCCTCAGGGGAGTCTGTGATCTACTTGGAGGTGGGCAGCAGGAAGGGGCAAGAGAATGGGATTGTAGCTGAACAGGCAGATGAGAGCCCTGGTCCCCTGTCCCTTGGGAGGCCTGTGGCTTTGCTAGGTATGTGTGCCACTTTGCTGTGGGCAGCCTTGGAGCGGGTGGCAGAGCTGAGGGTAGGTATCCTAAGCATTCTGGGCTGCAGCCTATTGTGGAATTGTGGCACTCTTGTCTGTGAGATGTTTTTGAGGCCCATTAGCAAGCATCCTGCTTTGTGAAGGGCTTCACCCATCACAAGACAGTCTCTCCCATGTTTGGTCACGTTCCTGTTCCTGATCTCAAACCCGTGCTCTGTCTTTTCTTTGCCAGTATGCCTGTGGTATTGAGGCTGAAGTGGTCGGGAAACCTTCCCCTGAGTTCTTCAAGTCTGCCCTACAAGCCATCGGGGTGGAAGCTCACCAGGTAGGAGGGGCAGAATCTCCTCTCTTCTTTAACTTTTTAAAAGGACCTTTACTGACTTAGTTCTTCTGGGTGTGGGATGGTGCCCATTCATTCTCTCCCTCCACCCTGTGGGTTCCAGGAATCGAACTCAGATTGTCAGGATCAGCAGCCAGTGCCGTTACCCACTGAGCCATCCTTCCAGCCCAGAACTCTTCTCCCTGAGAGGAATGAGATAGTTACTCGCCGTGTGTCCCAACAACCAGATCACACACATTCTCCTCTTGTAATGTTTTCCCCCGTCTTAAAAAACAAATTTTTCCTTTTTTGTTTTCTGTGTGTGTGTGTGTGTGTGTGTGTGTGTGTGTGTGTGTGTGTGTGTGTAAGTCGCAGGTACACGTGTGCCACAGTGTGCATGTGGAGGGCAGAGGACAGCCTCGGGTTGCCTTGTACTCTGAGATGAGGTCTCTCTTACCTGCCACTGCCTATGCCAAGCTGGCTAACCCCTGAGTTTCCAGGGCTTCTCCTGTCTCTGTCTCCCGTCTCAACATAGGAACACTGGGATTACAGATGTGTGCTGCTGTGCCCAGATCCTTATGGGACTCATGTTCGCGCAGCAAGCCATCTCTTCCAGCTAAGCCATCCCCTCAGCCCCAGAGCTGATTTTTTACTGTCGTGTTTTAAAGCAAATCTCAGGCCTATTGGATCCTTCCATGTTAAAATGTTTCCTTTAAAACCGGGCATTTTAACAAAAGTGCGAAGCAGTAAAAACCCCAGGCAATGACCCGAGAGCAGACAGAAAGATGCTGAGTCTCTTGGTTCCTTAGGACCACAAGTCAAACCCCATCACCTGCTATGGCCACTAAAGGAGAGAAACAGCAGGAAATGCCAAGTGTTGATGTGGAAGAGCTGGGGCCCTGTGTCCTGCCGGTAGGGCTGCTTTAGCGCACCAGTGCTGTGAGGGAAACTTTGGTGATGAGTCTGCCGTCTGCCCCCGTGGTTACACTCCCAGGTGTGGACCCAGATGAACTGACACTGGTGTTCAAACAACAACAGACTTGGAGGGCCTGAGGGTGCCTCCGTGGTTGAGCACTTGCCTAACAAGAACGAAGCCCTGGTTTTGAGCCCCAGAACCAAAGAGTCCTCTAAACCACGTATAGATGATCATGGCAGCTGTATTTACAGTAACTCAAAGGCTGAACAGAACTCAGCTGTCTGCCTATCCCCTAGGAATGGGTCAGCAGCATGTGTCCCACTCAGACAGTGAAGTATCACCGAGTCATAAAGAGGAGGGATGGACCATGAACGTAGTCTGCCAAGGACAGGAAGCTAGGTGTAAAAGCATGCATGGAATCCTTTTATAGGGCTTGTCCAGAACAGGCAAGCCCACAGAGGCAGAGAGAGTGGACTAGTGATTACCAGAGGTTGAGGTGTGGGCACGTGATGAACGTCGGTTCATGAGTACCTGGTCTCCTGTGGGTGATAAAAATGTTCTAGAGTTCAGACTGGCGTGATATCATAGTGGGTTAAATCACCTACAGCCAAGCCCAATGACCAGGCCTCCCAGGGTGGAAGGACAACTGACTCCTGGAACTCGTCTTCTGACCTCCGTATATGTGCCGTGGTGCACACCTGGGCTTTGTGCCTGGCACTGGGCGAGCTAATGCGGTCTGAATTTAAACAGGTACCTGTGCATCTCCCCCACTGTCCTCTCCTGGCTCCAGCCTGCCATTTTGCGGAAAGGCTTGCCAGTGTTATTTAAATCTCCGGATGTGTAGACAGAGTTTCACGTAACTATAGGCACACACAAGTAATAATCCCTGGCTCTGTAGTGTGTGTGTGTGTGTGTGTGTGTGTGTGTGTGTGTGTGTGTGTGTGTGTGTGCTTTTAATGGAAATGGCCTGGGAAGGGCTGCTGTAGGCTGCTCGGGTGCCAGGTCGTGGCTCACCTTAACTGTTCTGAGCTGCCCTAATCAATGAAGTCATCACCGCTCTTCCCTTGGTAATGGCTCTGCAGAGGTGTTTAGAGCCTGAGCTCCCCGTGGTGGCAGCCCCCAACCCAGTTTCCACCAGATTTTTCCCAAACAGCCTAGAAACAGCAGAGGACTGGGCTTACCCTATTAGAGGTAATCAGGCCCTTTCAAGGGTCCAGAAATAAGGAGAACAGCACACCTTAAATATACATTTTTTTTTAAAAAAAATCACATAAAAAAAAAAGATCCTTGGCTTTTGCCATGTTTGTGTTTGTCCTTATAAATGTGCCAAGCCATGGTGAAAATGCCTTAGTGAGTGTCACCTCTGCATTTCTGAGGTGACTGGAAGCTGAAGGTGTAGATATCCCTTGAGGACTGTCCATGCAGGGTGTGTGCCCTGCCTGCCCCACTGTGTGCTTCCCTGTGACGGGGGCGGACTCTGCCCAGCAGAGTCGAGGGAGAGCTGACAGCTCACGGGACACAGACTTTCTTGGGAAGTGAAGCCCTGGGGCTCTGGAAGCCTGTCCTCCAAAGCTTGTCACCTGTTAGGCTCCATTCTTCTGAGCACCCAGGATGGTGAAGGAGAGACCTGCAAGCAGGCAGTACTGAAGGAGCCGGAGGATCTCCTCTTTTAGCCCAGACTGTCTTCTACATCACTCTGTAGCCGACGATGAGCTTGAACTTCTGATACTCCTGCATTCCCATCTCCCGAATTCCACGATCTCAAGCATTCTCTTTGCTGCTGGGGGAATAGGAATGCAGGCTTCCACACACACCAGACAAGTGCTCTGCCCACTGACCCATGTGCCCCACACCAGAGACCGATTTACAAATCCAAACCACAGAGTCTGTCTTGGAGAGTGACAGCCCCCTGCAGCCCTCCGCATTTCTGGGTTCTCTTGGACTACAGTCCTTCAGTTTTGAATGTCTGTCTCCCCTGTATCACATCACAGGAAGGAGTAAAAGCCAAGCCTGACAGGTAGAGTTTTTTATTTCCCCCGACAGTGCACCTCTTGACCTCCATCTTCTTGCCAATGATTTTTTAAATCCTAAATGATTTGGCAATAATTGCTCCTCTCCGTGTGATTATTGTCCTTCACTGATGGTAAATCTGGAAATTCCCCAGGGTTCTGAGAGCATTTTGGTATGCGGAGCCCACAAGCTGGCCCAGACAGGCTTCACTGCACACCCCACTGGCTGCCCATGTCTAGCCCCAGCTCCCTGCCGCCCACATCTCTGCTTCCTGGGGTTCTGTCCCATGCTGGCATCATGTCATTGTCCCAAGCATCTATCCCACAGATGCTCTTCCATGTGATAGCACTTCCTCCGCGGGATTAGTTTTTTTCAGAAACCATCTCCAGGAGCCACATCAACAAATACCAGCCTGAGAGGATCCTGAGAAGACAGTTTCCACTGTCTAGTTGTATGTGTGCAGGCACGTACGTAAGAGTTTGCTTGGAGGCAGTATTTCTTGTGTCCAGGCTGGCCTTGAATTCACTGTGTAGCTGAGGATGACCTTGAACTTCTGATCTTTCTGCCCCTATCTCCTAAGGATTACAGGCACACACCACCCCACTTAGTGTATACAGTGCTGGGGGCTCAAACCCACAGCCTTGTGTATACTAATCAAGAACTCTATACTGACTGAGCTACAGCCCTACCCCATCTGTACACAATTCTACTGTTCTCAGAGGCATGGAAGGTACCAGGCATGACATGCCGTAGCTGGGATTTGCATTCCATTTCTAGGAAGCCCAGTCACACAAAGATCCCAACGCCTTTGGCAGCAGTAGACGCCCGAGTCGGAACCCTTGAGTGTTCAAAGGCTGAATCAACAGTTTTAGCGTGGCTCCTGGAAAGGGAGCCAGCAAGCCTGACATGAAGCATCTGGCCATCTGTACCTGAGGCCACTTTGTGCAAGTTGCTGGGTAGTCCTACAGCTTTGAAGTCTCGAGCCCGTGTGTCACTGTGCCCCAGGCTGTCCCACTAGGGCAAGTAGATGTCACTGGCTGGATCTTCCCAGGTGGCTGGATGGTTTCTACACTGCTGTATGAAAGTTGGTAGAAGACAAAACAGAGAACCTCCACTCCAGCTCCAAGCAGTGTTCCCCCCAACACTGTCCTCCTAGGAGAAGGTTCCGTGTTTTGCCAAAGCTGGGCTCTTGCCACAGGCACCATTATCTGCTCAGGATTGCTTTAAACTGACTTTTTAAAACTTAAGGGAGTTCCCACTAGTTTGGCCGACCGTCTCTGCAGGTTTCCCCATCATGATCCTGATGCCCCTTGCTCATAGAATCCCTCTTCTCTCTCTTCAACTGGACTTCCGGAGCTCGGCCTGGTGCTTGACTGTGGATCTCTGCATCTGCTTCCATCAGTTACTGAATGGAGGCTCTATGATGACAGTTAGGGTAGTCACCAATCTGATTACCGGAGTAGACCAGTTCAGGCACCCTCTCCACTATTGCTCGTAGTCTAAGGTGGGGTCATCCTTGTGGATTCCTGGGAACTTCCCTAGCACCCTGTTTCTTCCTGTTCTCTTGATGTCTCTCCCTATCATGGTATCTCTTTGCTTGCTCTCCCATTTTGTCCCTCTTCCAACTCGACCATCCCATTCCCTTATGTTCTCATGAACTGTGGACCAATAGTTGTGGATCCTCCATGGGACTGGACTAGGCCCTCTGCATAGGCGAGACAGTTGTTTAGCTTGATCTGCTTAAGGGGCCCCTGGCAGTGGGATCAGGATCCGTTCCTGCTGCATGCGCGGGCTTTTTAGAGCCCAGTGCCTATGGTGGGACACCTTACACGCCTTGGTTCAGGGGGAGGGGCTTGGACCTGCCTCTACTGAATGTACCAGGCTCTGCTGACTCCCATGGGAGTCCCTGCCTGGGAGGAGGTGGGAATGGGGGGTGGGTTGGGGAGGGGAAGGCTGGGAGGTGGGAAGAGGGAGGAGAAGAGGGGCACCTGTGGTTGGTATGTAAAATGAACAGAAAATTTCTTAATAATAATAAAAAAGAAAGAAAAATAAATAAATAAAAATTAAGTGAGTTTTAAAAGGAACTTTGGTGCATTACTACAACTGGAAGACCAGAATGTCTTGACTTTCCATAATATTCTAAGAATAAGCACCATATGATTATCTGGGGACATTGATGGAAATCAGCTTGTCACCAGTATTTGTAACATATCTGTGAAACACAGGAAGGAAGTGGAAGAGAGGTCGGAGAAATCCAGTGAGGATTTTCAAGTGTGCACTGGTCCCTGGCACCCCTTGGCCTCCAGCTGGTCTCCTCTCTGCTAGGCAGCCCTGCTCTGCTTCCTTTCCATGTATTCCTTTACTCTTTCTACTTCCCACCGCCCTGCGATCTGTTCCTCTCTTCACGTGGTCGCCTTTCTAGTTTCAGGACCTATAACCACACACGTATATAAATGCACACACTCATGCATGCACACCCACACACACAAGTGCACACACACGCACATATACAGATACACACATGTGTATAGTTTCGATTTCAGATTCTGCTTATGAGAGGAAACATGCTGTATTTGCCTTTTTAAGTCTGGCTTGTTTTGCTTAATGTAATGATTTCCAGTTGCATCCATTACAGAGTCCTCCATTGATACCATGACACTGGAGACCAGGCCACCAGCACAGGCCACCAGCACGTAAACCTTTGGGAGATACCCTCCAACCATATCCAAACCACAGTGGCTGCCTCTTTGCTGTGTCCTCACGTGGCCTTTGCTGCACTTGTCTGGAGGAGACAGCTGTGGGGTCTCTTCCCCCTCCAATAAGGACCCCAGTCACACTGGGTCAGGGCTCCACCCTTGACTTCACGGAATCTCAGTTACCTCTGCAGGTGCCATGTCCAAGTACTCACACTGGGGTTCAGGCCTTGCTGACTTCGGAGGGTACAGCTCAGCCCATGATAGCCTCCCCACACATACACCGTGAGAACACTGAAGGCAGGGGCTGGGCGAGTCACAGATTCACCTCACCTGCTTCCTGTGCCTGGAAAGACACACCCCTCCTTGTGTGATGTCCAGTGCCTTGAGAACTGTTGGTTCTGAGAACTTGCCTGGTTTGGGGGATTGTTTCAGGTGGGAGGAATCTGTCCCACAGACTGCTTCTGAAACCCTAGCCAGTAAGCAAGTATTTCTTGTGTGTGTGTGTGTGTGTGTGTGTGTGTGTGTGTGTGTGTGTGTGTGGTTAGAGTTTGGTTTTTACACGGAGTCACTTGACAATTGAGAGCAAAACCTTTTGAAATGGAGACTACACAGACTTGCCAGACACTGACTTAGTTTTCACAACACAATCACCTGACCCCAGAGGAGCATTTAGCATCAAGTAAAAGGCAGTCTGCTCTGTGTGGAGGCGGGTGCCCCTCAAGGCGCCAGATCACTTGGACGGCTGCTGATTGATTTCACATTGAATAAATAAACTGGTCATGGCCCAGGGGGGCAGCGGGAGATAGATTCAAGGTGGGTTGACTTTAAATCAATGCAATGACAATATTATCTTGTTTAATTTGTATGATGGTGGCTTTAAACATCAAATCAAGCCGTTTATTATGTCACGAAAAGAAAAAAAGAAAGATGAAGAACCCAGGAATAAGACTCTCCTGACATAACTTCTGAGCATATTTCACTACTGACAGGCCATCATGATCGGCGACGACATCGTGGGTGATGTTGGCGGCGCCCAGCAGTGTGGAATGAGAGCGCTGCAGGTGCGGACCGGAAAGTTCAGGTCAGTGCCCGCGGCCGCTTCGTTTTCCTGCTCTTCTCTGGACTGTCCCAGGGTGACAGCCTTCCTGTCTTGGGGCTTTTCTTTCCAGACAAACAGTATGTGGACATTCACGGCCTTGTCTGTAGCTGGCCCCTCAGGACCCGGATGGCTGACCTTTGTGGTAGAAATCACTGTCCTTCGTTGTGTGGTGGTGGTGAGGCAGAGCCTGGACTTCGAGGCAGACATGAATCTGCGTGGCGTGAGGATAAAGAGGCGAAGCTCTGCCCATGCTGGGGCTGCGGCCAGGGAATCGGGTGGAGCCATCCACGCTCCTTTGGGCAGTGTGCTCAGAACCTTTGCAGCCACTGAGGTTACAGCTGGCCTCACACTGTCTGGCTACCTGCCTTTTCTTTTCATTCCACCTTCTCCAACTTGTGAGAGGCACAGAGACCCCGGATAGCTGTCAGGGATACTCTGGGTCTGACATTTATGAACAGTTGCTAGGAATTGGGCAGTTGGGTCTGCCCTCTGGGGACTGGGCTGTGACTTGCTTCGCCGTTGAGAGTGTCTTATGCATCAGCCGTGTCTTGCTTATTTATTTATTGCTTAATAATTTTTTTATTATAATTAAAATATAACTACATAATTTCTCCCCTTCCCTTTCTCCTACCCCTCCTTTAAGTTTCGAGACAGGCTCGCATGTAGCCCAGGCTTGACTCAAACTTGCTATGTGGCCAGAATTGATCTGGAACTTCTGAGCCCCTCCACCCCCAGCTCTACCTACCAAGTATTAAGATTATAGGGGTGTGTCACCATTCCTAATTTATGCTGTGCTGGGGATCGAACCCAGGGCTCTGTGCGTTCTAAGCAAGCATTTTACCAACCGAACCGTATCACTAGCCCCTGCCTTGCCTATTTTCAGTGACTTCCATTGTGGCCAGGCCATTCAAACAAAGCACCATTTTGTCAGTGCTAGAGAGACTTGGTGAAAACATGGTTATCTGGATATGAAGGATGGTAGATCAGTCACACACATCTGAATGATTGTCTTAGACAGGGCTAGAATCCACCGATGGCCTAACCTTCACTCTGAGATCCATCCTGGGTGAGAAACCTGAGGCAGGCATGAGCTGAGGCCCTCTGTAAGCTCAGAGTGAGGGAGGGAGTGTCCACACTCCTGGAGTCTGGGGTCAGAAGCCACTTAGACTCTCCCAGGGTGGAAGTGGTTTTGAAACCCCAGCATCCCTGAAATACAGACTTTCTTTCCTCCCCAGTCTCTCTGAGGAGGCTCTTATGGCTCCATTGGTTATATCTGACCTGAGGGAGTCCTGCTCAGAGGCTACAAAAGCATTTTTCCCAAGTGGCCAGCCTGCCCCTTCCTGGTCTGTTCACACTGATGTAAAACACAGTACCACATTGCTGAAGACAAGAAATAGAGTCCCTCACGGTTCTGAAGCCTCGGAGTCCAAGATCAAGGTGCCGATAGGTCAGTGTCCCATTCCAAGATGGCTCCAGATGTGTCATCCTGAATCCCCAGAGGAGGAGGGATAGTGGATCCTAACATGTGCGATAGGAAGCAGAGAGCCCGCTCCCTCGAGGCCTTTTCATGGGGTATTAATCCTCATGACCAAGCGCCTCCCCAAGGCCCACCTTCCAACACTGTTGCACCAGGAATTTGGTTTCTAACACCAGAATTTGAGGGGACACATTCAGGCCATAGCAGACTTTACAATCCATGATCCCTCTTTTCCCTGAGAGTTGCAAAGCCTGATTCTGCTTTCTCCTGGCCAGAGGCTCCTCACTGGGCAGTGGGGCTCAGCACCCTTCTGTGGCTGCACTACTTATGGTAGTGCCCCATGCTGCTTAGCTGTGGGAGCCCAGCTGGCACATGTTCGGTGTGTGTTGCAACTTGGTGGCCAGACACGTGAGTAGCACTTTTGTTTTTGAAAGCCCAGAAGCAGGACTACTCTAGTTTATTAAGGAAAACATCTTAGTTGAGGAAAATGTGTCCTTGGTTGGGGCCTGTCTGGCCAGTCTAAACCTGTGTGGCCCATGTACTCAGAATGCACTGTGGCTTTGCTCTTGGCTGGAACAAACCTCTAGGCTGCTGAGTCTCTAAGGAAGATCCCTCACACCAGGAGGGAGGCCCACACACAAGTAGGATTAGGAGCTACACCCACACTAGTCCCCCAGGTGTGGGCCCATTGCAGAGTCCAGTGATCTCCATGCCATTCAGAGGGAAGTGTCAGCGGGGTGGGGTGTAGCTCAGTGGTAGAGTGCTTACCTGTAGCATGAATCTTAAAAAGTTCTTATTAATAAAACAAACCTGGAGCCAAGTATTGGGGTGAACACTGGAAGATCAGAGAGACAGAACAAGCCACAGCTAACCTCACCTGGCCAACTTCTCAGCTGATCTTGTTTCCTCGGACTGGAAGCCTCTGTGTCCTCATATCCGAATGGCTCTCAGCTGAACTGTGCTGCTCAAAACCTAAAAGCTTAACCAGCCAAATGCTTAACCAGCCAAATGCTGCTAGTTTCTGGTCCTCATGCCTTATATACCTTTCTGCTTTCTTTTTTTTTTTTTTTTTTTTTTGGTTTTTTGAGACAGGGTTTCTCTGTGTAGCTTTGTGCCTTTCCTGGAACTCACTTGGTAGCCCAGGCTGGCCTCGAACTCACAGCGATCCGCCTGGCTCTGCCTCCCGAGTGCTGGGATTAAAGGCGTGAGCCACCAACCTTTCTGCTTTCTACCACCACTCCCTGGGATTAAAGGCTTGCTTTCTGGGATTAAAGGCGTGATGAGTCACCATGCCTGTCCATATCCTTGAACACATGGATTTCTGCCTCTGGAATGCTAGGATTAATGGTGTGTCCCACCACTGCCTATCCTCATGTTTAATATTGTGGCTGCTCTGTCTCTGACCCCAGATAAGTTTATTAGCATGCACAATATTTGGGGGAATACAATACTACACTTACCCAAAATGTGTGAGGCCCTAGACCCAATCAATCCCCAGCACCATAAAACCTAAAATCAGCAAGAGGGAAGTGATATCCACCTGATGGAGCTTGCACTTGCAGAGAGAATTCCATCTGGAGACCACCCTTTTGGTCTTACAAGCACATGGCTAATGTTTTGGGTTTTCCTTTATTACAAAAATGGGATTATACTGTGCAACATGCTTTTTTCTTGACTGTTTTATGGCATCTTTCTGTAACTGTAAAGTTCCAACTAGTGCCTGGCACATGCCAAGTCCTTTGCTGGTAGCCCAGGGTGGTGACTGTGCAGCTGTGGTTAATTACCAACAGGCTTCTGGAAACTGACCACTTGCCCTGGTTCCACAGGACAGGACTTGTTTGTGAGGAGGCAGATCCTCTTTTGCTAGCCTGGAGAATGACAAAATAAGAATCTTAGTTCTTACAAGGGAGCAACTGGGTCACTCTAGTTGGTTGTATTTTTTTTTAAAGATTTATTTATTTATTATGTATACAGCATGTATGACCAGAAGAGGGAGCCAGATCTCATTAGGTGGTTGTGAGCCACCATGTGGTTGCTGGGAATTGAATTCACTCAGGACCTCTGGAAGAGCAGTCAGTGCTCTTAACCTCTGAGCCATCTCTCCAGCCCCTTGTTGTTTTTTTTTTTTTTTTAACTCTTTTACTCTTTACTCTTTGAGGACCCACCACTTAGCTCCCAAATAAATACACACAGAGACTTATTATTACTTATGAATGCCCGGCCTTAGCTTGGCTTGTTTCTAGCCAGCTTTTCTTAACTTGAATTATCCCATCTACCTTTTGCCTCTGGGCTTTTATCTTTATCCTACATGCCTTTCTTTACTTCTTACTCCATGGCTGGCTGTGTAGCCGGGTGGCTGGCCCCTGAAGTCCTCCTCCTTCTCCTTTTCTCATTCCTTGATCTTCTCCTCCCAGATTTCTCCACCTGTTTATCCTCTCTGCCCACCAACCTCATCTGTCCTTTCTCCTGCTTTGCTGTTGGTCACTCAGCTCCTTATTAGACCAATCAGGTGTTTTAGACAGGCAAAGTTACATAGCTTCACAGAGTTAAGTAAATGGAACACAAAAGAATACAACACATCTTTGCATCATTAAAACAGATGTCCCACAGCATAAACAAATGTAACGCATCTGAAAATAATATTCCACAACAGGTCACCCACAGTGAGGCTATTCCAGCACAAGAGGCTCGGTTTGTGCCGTTGTTCGTGAGTGTTGAAAGGCTGAGGGACTGTAGCATGAATCTTAAAAGTTCTTATTAATAAAAACAAATCTGGAGCCAGGTATTGGGGTGAATGCTGGAAGATCAGAGAAGCAGAACAGGCCACAGCCACCTCACTTTGCCAATTCCTCAGCTGATTCTGTTTCCTTCAGACCGGAAGCCTCTGTGTCCTCATCCAAATGGATCTCAGCTGACTGCTGCTAAAAGCCTAAAAGCTTAACCCCTAGTTCCTGGTCCTCATGCCTTATATACATTTCTGCTTTCTGTCATCACTTCCTGGGATTAAAGGCTCACTTCCTGGGATTAAAGGCTTGAGTCACCATGCCTGACTGTTTCCAGTGTGGCTTTAAACTCACAGAGATCCAGATGGATCTCTGCTTCCCAAGTGATAGGATTAAAGGCGTGTGTGCCACCATTTTCTGGCCTCTGTATCTAGTGGCTGTTCTGTTCTCTGACCCCAGATAAGTTTATTAGGGTGCACAATATTTTGGGGAACACAATATCACCACAAGGGACCTAGAGGTTATAGCCCTAGAAACACTGCCAGATAGGAGAGCCTCAAGTGGCTTGAAAAGTGACTTGTCCCAATGGGAACATGCAAAAAACACTGTTTTCAGAGACCAAGTAGAGATAGCAAGCCCAGCACTGACTTTCTATGGAGAAGACAGTTTGGAATGTTGATACTTTGTTACTCTTACTGTTAGTGGCTGTCTTAGTGGTGTCTTTCTATTGCTGTGAAGAGACACCATGACCACAGCAACTTTTATAAAGGAAAACATTTCAT